GCCGGGTGACGGGGGCGACGAAGACTGCAATTGGCGATGGCGATGTGCAGGCAAATGTTTTGGGGAACACCTCGCGTACACGACGCGGCCAAGATAGTGCAAATCGGAACGACAGCACAAGAGCGGTGACCTTCGCGCGCGCAATGTGGGCGGGCCACGCAGAAGGTATTTACATAGCGCACCTTCGACTAAATAGTATGGTATTCGTGTACCCTCCTCGCTCTGGCTGGGCCTCCCTGGAGGGGTGAGGGGGGCACGAAACCGGATAAGTAGCATGGTATTCGTCTACCATCCTCGCTCAGGCGGGGCCTCCCTGGAGGGGTGGGAGGGACACGAAACTTGATAAATAGTACGGTATTCGTATACCCTCGTCGCTCAGGCGGGACCTCCCTGCAGGGTTGGGAGGGGCACGGAACCTGATAAATAGTATGGTATTCGTATCCCCTCCCTGGAGGGGTGGCAGGGGCCCCTCCTCGCTCAGGTGGGGCCTCCCTGGAGGGGTGGGAGGGGCACGAAACCTGATCAACAATATGGTTCGCGAATACCCTCCTCGCTCTGGTGGAGCCTCCCTGGAGGGGTGGGGGGGGCGCGAAACCTGATACATAATATGGTTTGCGAATACTGTCCTCGCTCTGGCGGGGCCTCCCTGGAGCGCTGGGAGGGGCACGAAACCTGATACATAATATGGTTTGCGAATGCTGTCCTCGCTCTGGCGGGGCCTCCCTGGAGCGGTGGGAGGGGCGCGAAACCTGATAAATACTATGGTCTGCGAATGCTGTCCTCGCTCTGGCGGGGCCTCCATGGAGGGGTGGGAGGGGCACGAAACCTGATAAATAATATGGTTTGCGAATACTGTCCTCGCTCTGGCGGGGCCTCCCTGGAGCGGTGGGAGGGGCGCGAAACCTGATAAATAATATGGTTTGCGAATACTGTCCTCGCTCTGGCGGGGCCTCCCTGGAGGGGTGGGAGGGGCACGAAACCTGATAAATAAGATGGTTGCGAATACTGTCCTCGCTCTGGCGGGGCCTCCCTGGAGCGGTGGGAGGGGCACGAAACCTGATAAATAATATGGTTTGCGAAAATACTGTCCTCGCTCTGGCGGGGCCTCCCTGGAGGGGTGGGAGGGGCACGAAACCTGATAAATAATATGGTTTGCGAATACTGTCCTCGCTCTGGCGGGGCCTCCCTGGAGCGGTGGGAGGGGCACGAAACCTGATAAATAATATGGTTTGCGAATACTGTCCTCGCTCTGGCGGGGCCTCCCTGGAGGGTGGGAGGGGCACGAAACCTGATAAATAATATGGTTCGCGAATACTGTCCTCGCTCAGGCGGGGCCTCCCTGGAGGGGTGGGAGGGGCACGAAATACCTGATAATAATATACATAATATGGTTCGCGAATACTGTCCTCTGGCGGGGCCTCTGGAGCGGGGCACTGATACCGAATACTGTCCTGGCTCTGGCGGGGCCTCCCTGGAGCGCTGGAAGGGGCACGAAACCTAATAAATAATATGGTTCGCGAATACTGTCCTCGCTCTGGCGGGGCCTCCCTGGAGGGGTGGGAGGGGCACGAAACCTGATAAATAAGATGGTTCGCGAATACTGTCCTCGCTCTGGCGGGGCCTCCATGGAGCGGTGGGAGGAGCACGAAACCTGATAAATCATATGGTTTGCGAATACTGTCCTCGCTCTGGCGGGGCCTCCCTGGAGCGGTAGGTAGGTATTGTATGGTATTGCATGGTGTGGTAGGTATGCGGTGATGGTGTATATATGGTTTCCTACGTGCTTGCCTGACTCCGGTGGTCTGCTATAGTATGGTATGGTATGGTATTGTATGGTATAGTATGGTATGGTAGGAATAGGAAGAGGTATGGTATAGTATGGTATGGTAGGAGTAGGAAGAAGGAGCGGGAGGTGGGAAGGTGGGGAGGTGGGAAGGTGGGAAGGAGAGGGTGTCCTGGGAAAACAAGAACCCCACTCAGGATGTGGGGAAAAACCAATCAGCCGCCGACTTTCCATCCAAGTCCCGACGGGGATCTCAAACGCGACGTGGCTGGCAATATCCTGCGACAGACGGATGTCGCTACGGCCAAGGGTGAGCTGCTCTACGAGGGTACTGCTTCTTCCAACGCGGGGGAGCTGGGCCTCGCACGTAAGCGAATTGTCAGCTGGATTGCGGGGAAGTTTTTCCACCCTCGGGGCACGAGCACACACAGGCACACATGGCACACCGCTGGGAAGGGCCGTTCCCCCCCTCAACGGGCTGACACTGGGGCGAAGCAGACAGGTTACTATCGCTACAGAAGTTAAGCTCCGATGCCCAAGGATCCTCTTCCTCCTCGGTGTCCAAAACAATCAGGCTCGGGGGGCTCGCGAAGACTGCCGAAGGCCCCAGCGCCCTCCAGGCCCCTCGCCCCCTCAGCCTGAACAAGACAGTCACCGAATTGATCGCGAAAATCCGCCACTCTCTTTTCGCGAGCAGCAGCCCGTGCAACGAAAGCTTTGGCCTTGGCTTGACTGGCCTTCGAGCCCGCCGTTGGCTCTGTCCTCGGTCGCGGGGCCTGCGGTAGCTTACGCGGGACTTGGAGGGCCCTAGTTTGCAGCTTAAGCCCCGACGACCAGAGGCGCAAAACGAGCGCAATTTGAGGCTTCCAGGCAACATCCCGGACAGGCGCTAAACTGCGCACTAGTGGAACCGCTGATTCACCTATGACTACATAATCTACCATGCGATTTACAATACCCTTCTTTCTGCGCGCACGTGCCTACCACATCTGCTACACGCAAGACTCCCCCCACCTTCTCCACAAACGTCGATCGCGCCAGTGCCTCAGGCGTCATGTTCCCATCCCCGATCACTGCCCAGGGCGTGCGCATCGCCCCCAGCAGGCCTCCGAGTCTACGGAAACGTTCTCGGCTCAAACCTGCCATCCCGATGCTTGGGAATGAATATGGTGCAGCAGTGACAATAGAGAACCCCGACTGGTGCATCAGCATCGGGAGAAAGCCGTCGAAGCTGTTCTGCGTGCCCGCCTTGAGCTGTGGCATCGAGGCGTCCGCTCCAGGCAGCGCGTGACATTGCAGCTGGCTGCGTGACAGAAAAATCGCACCGCCCTCGTTGGAGCGCTTCTGCTCGGCCGCACTGGCAACTTTTCCCGACGGTCCCGCCCGATTGATCGCCATCTTCAAGGAAAGTTGTCTGGCCTTCTTATCCCACTCTCGTACTTCGGACTCCTGCTGAACGTGAGTCCCGACGGGGGCCCAATGACTATATACGCGTGACCGTGATGCAACGAATCTCCATGCCTTATCCGTCAGCTCAGTGATGTTCGAGTAAAACATTGAGGCCTCGTCGTCGCTCGCCGACGGCCCCTCAGTCAGGGTCTGAAGGGTCCCCGTGCTTGATTGTCGCGCAGTCGATGTCCTGGCCGCCGCAGTGCCCTTGCCCACCGCCTTGGCTTGCTCAGCCTTGGCAGTGAACTTGGCCGCCGACAGCCGCTGCGCCTCCTGCTGGATGGCCTCCTCCTTGGCAGCCTTGGTCGCGGGGTCCTCCCCACCAGTACCTGGCTGCTCCGCCGCCGCCTCGGCCTCGGCCGCGCCGCCGCTCGCAGTCGCGGTAGCGTCTGCGCTGGGCGCTGCTTGCCCATCAGCCGCGCGGCGCTTCTTGGCCATCCTCTCCTGGATCGCCGCCTTGTGCTTCTCCGCCTCCTCCAGCCAGCGGCGAATCTCGGCTTCCTTGCCCTCGAAAGACGCCTCGGCCTCCGCCAGCTGCTTGTGGATGGCCTCCAGCGCCTTCTTCTCGGAGCCCGCGCGCCCCATCGTGCCCAGGCTCTCGAAGAACTGCGTGTCCCAGGCGATACTGAAGAGCCTCCCATCTTGATTATCCCTCACTGTGCCTAAGCCCCCGGCCTTGGCTAGAGCAGCCGTGGCCGCTCGCTTGGCCGCGAGGGCCTCTGCTAAGGCCCTCGCCGCCGCTGCCTCCTTCTGCTCCGCCGCTGCCAGGTTGCCGCGGAGCCGAACGACGCTGCTGACCGCCTGCTCATGCAAGTGCTCCGCGTTCTTCACGGTGCCCTCGGCCCTCTTGAGCGCCTCCACTGGTGTCTCCTGACTAGGCGGTGCCGCGCCCGCCTTCGCGAGCTGCTCGATCTGCGCCTTCAGCACCTGCTGCAGCCCTGGGCCCTGCGCGGCATCGCATGCTTGCTGTAGCAGCTGCCGCACTTGCCAAGGGCCTCCGTTGCCGCCCTTGCCTCCTCCCCGCAAGCTCCCAGGGGACAGGCTGCGAGTGCCCCTGAGGATGCCGACTGGTCCAGCAGGCAGAGGCTGGCGCGGGCCACCAGCCTCTCCGTCCTCCTCGCCGCTTCAGGCGTCAAGGAACTCCTGCTCGCTGTCCTCGTCGCGGTTGAAGGAGACCTTCTTCTTCTTCTTCTTGCCGTACAGCTCGACACCGCCACCGCAGTGCGCGCATACCCTGTTCAGTTGGATCAGCTTCGCATTCCACTCGCATCGCCCGCAAGCGCAGCGGGACCACATTCGTGCCATGTCGCCTCAATGTTAGCCAGTGCCCTAAAACATCTGGCTGGTTCTGGGGCGCTGTCCCTCAAGCGCTGCTCGGAAGCCCAGATGCCTGGGCGCAGGCTGTTCCTGGAAAGCCTGAGCCCAAATTGCTTGAGGAGGAAGAGGAGGAGGAGGAGGAGGAGGAGGAGGAGGAGG